GATATCTGCCGTAGTGAAGTAACACGACTCGGGCTGATGATTCGGCCACTGATGATGCAGGAGCTTATGTTGGTTTCTTTCTTCAGCCGTCTCTGTGGATTGCCCCATGTTACCGTTACATTGTGTATTTGTATGCATTTTGTTGGACGTTGGTCGCTTCCGCTTTTGCTGTCCAGGTACTTCCCCTCCTCCAGAATACGGGTCCAACAGAGAATGGAACGTAGATTTGATTCCCAAGTTTGTAATGGCATGCGGAAAACTCGTGAAGATCCTACTGAAGACGAAGGTTACGAGGTGCCATTTTCCCCTGTCATGTTTGCTATAGTCCGTCTTACCTATTCGCATCCGTCTCTTTGCATGTTTTGTTCTGGCTTCATATCTTCCATACTCACGTGGTGCTACTCTTTTTGCCCACATACGCGGTCGACGTCTGCTGGTGTTTGTTGCAGGTACTTAGAGTGGCAGGTGGTGGAGGGAACTTTCGTCTATCAGTACCAGAAAGCCGGTTACTTTTCAGGCGAAAAGTACATTCATAAAGTACGCTGCAGTCGTCTCACCGACGTAACTGTAATTGCTGGTGGTGCCGTTGCTGCTGTTGTTTTGCCTGTGGTTGCTGCATCGAGAGGAGGCACAACATTGCAGCAGGCTGTATCAGGCTAGCGTGAAATTGCTACTTTCCTGCACGCTAGCACACGTGTCCTTCATAACTAATTGCATCTGACAGTCTGTCTGGCACTTGGTGGTTTTAGGTCCCCGCTACAGAGTCAGAAGCTCTCATGTCTCCTCTGATGCCTTTGCTGGAAAAAAACCGCTGTCGCTCCTTCTTCGCCTATTGCGCACAGTGGCAAGCAGACAAGCCTGAAACTTGGAAGGGGTTTGATCCGAAGAGGCACTCGATGGAGCAAGTAGGCACTGCCGGGCGGACTCGCGAGTCGCGTGGCGCCAACATGTTAATTTGTGAGCACGTGCAGACTGTTGCTTGTGGTTGCACGCATCGGACCTGTAATAGCAGATGCAGTTTGCTGGATATTGCGCCTCAGGTCTACAAGTACTTTGGACTTGAGACGAACACGATTGATTTCGTCGGCCACGCGGTGGCACTTTACACTTGCGATGAGTCCGCATGCACTAAGGCTTTGAAACCGTTACTGTAGACTACGGATCTTCGTGCTCAGGGATCGGTCAGGAGGCGTGTGAGTGCGGTCGTGTCTCGAAGTCTTCCAGAGCATGGTTGCAAGTCGTCGTGTACTGTTTTCCGCTTTATGGTGGCGTGTCGTGCTTGTGTTTCTCCTTGTCTTCTATTGTCTAGGTGTGGATGCTAATCATGTTGCATGCCAAATGTCGTACGGCATGTTCCTTGCCCCGCAGCTACCTGAAGCAGCCGATGCAGGAGACGATGGAACGGATTAAGCTCTACATGTATTCTGTGTCGCGCTACGGGCGTTCACCCTTTATATATCCGGTTTACGGACTTGGTGGTCTGCCTGAGGGCTTTAGCCGCCTCTGCGCCGTGAACGGAGGCACGTACATGTTGAATGCGCCAGTGGACTCCTTCGTCCTTGACGAAAAGGGTAAAGTATGCGGAGTTAAAACCAAAGATGGCCAGGTGCGACTCAGGGACTACGCCAAGAATTTAGGGTTTAGTGCTTACGTTAACATTCCTAAGTCTCGCACAGCAAAGTCTCTTCAGAGCTCAGCAGACAGTGTTCTGAAATTGTCCTTGTTCCCCCTTTCTTCGTGTAGCGTAGGTTAAATGGACCACTGTTTGAGGGATGTTTAAGATCCCGCGAGGTCACCAAAAGGAGAAAGCTTCAAGGGCATCGTTGGATGCAGAACTAGTTTAGGTGCACTTATGTGGGCTTTTTTGGTATGTGACGCAGGTCGCTCGGTGCAAAATGGTGGTTTGTGACCCATCTTATATTGCTGAGCAGTTCCCGTCACGCCTTAAGTGTACAGGCAGAGTCATTAGGTGCATTTGCATATTGGGGGCGCCCGTCCCTTCTACCAATGGCAGCACCAGCTGCCAGATTATCATCCCTCAAAGGCAGCTAAACCGTCACAACGACATCTACATAATGGTCGTCTCTAGCCCTCACGGAATTTGTTTGAAGGGAAAGACCATTGCGATAGTCAGCACGACAGTCGAAACGGATGACCCGGAGAAAGGCACGTCTTAGGTTTTCAGTTCTAGAGATCGGAGCTTTGCACCTGCAAAAGTAGGGGGTTGTTTGAGCGCATTTCGTTTAGTGTTGCTTTGATGATGGTCTTACTACCTGTATTTTGCGAGGAAGGTCATGCACCTTTGGGCCATCCCTTTATGTGTGCAGCATAGTCAGCAGCAAAAATTTGCACAGCGATAGTGCATCGTAGAACGCTTGCTTCCCGTCGATATATGCTGGGTGAACGCCGTACTCTGAATTTATCTTGGTTTTGCTGTGGTCAGGCTCCATAAAGTGTTAGTGCTGCGCGATCGTTCTAGCCTGGATCTATTTTGCTGTGGTTGCAGAGCTCGCTCCTGCGCTTAAGCTCTTGGGGAATATCGAAGAAAAGTTTGTGGCTGTAAGCGACCTGCTGGAGCGTACAGACAATGGCAGAGATAGCAACATCTTTGTTTCCAACTCGTTCGATGCCACATCCCACTTCGAGTCGGCAACGCAAGATGTTCTAAGGATGTAAGTGACGCATGAATCGTAAAGAGAACTGAAATAACCGTACGAAGAATGGATCAAGATATAAACCAGAAAGCAGCAGAGACGCAGATACATCACGATGTACAGAGGATTACATGTAGCGGGTAGTAGGTTAGAGTCAGGCCTCAGAACCAGATAGACCTGTGGAGAATTTGAGGTGTTGAGTACAAACACTGAGAATTAGTTAGATATACAGTCAATCTCGCAAACACAGGATGAGCAAGAAACGACAGAGGCACGGATATCCGAAGGTGCTGTCGGCGAGCAATTCTAATTATGGATATAGTGGCATGAAGTACAACGAAATCCTGCTAGATTTTTGCCGAGGGACCTATATTGTTTCTTCGTTGAGCTTAAGGCGCGTCCATAGCTTGCTGTATTGAATATCCCAGCCGCGTTCTTACGCGCTCATCTAGACTAGCTGTCTTTGTCGGGTTCGGTGTTTTGCAGGTGGGAAGACATGACGGGGGAGCCCCTTGATTTGTCTGTTAAGGCGGAGCCAGAAGACCTCCAGGAGCAGTAAAAGTATAAAAACAACCAAGTTGTTCTCGTGCTGCATGAGCATGCAAGCAGCCGTCACGCCGGATTACCATCTAAGTGAAGTCTCGAATATATCCTTTGACCGCGGCTTCTACAAAAACATATGTACTTCGTGTTGCTTCCAGTGTGTTGCAGGGTGTCGATGAACGAGTTGAAATCAAAGTTTGCGTTTTTGCGTTATGGTCCGTTGGATTCTGGCATGTGATTAAAAGGTTTTCTCTATGCCAGTGTGTCGAACTTTTGCATAGGCAAACGTGCTCTTGGAACGGTTTGGCGCTGTCTGTGCCGGCATCACTATCCGCATTAGTTGCTGCTTCAGCTTTTTCGATCGGAAGTTTGAGGATTTGTAGCGAAGTAGCTAGAAAGTAAAGTCGATGTATTTTTGGCAGCCAGATATGCGGTTCCAGGTCCTGTAGCAGGCACTTCCAGGGCTTATTTAGCGCGAATGCGCTGTATTTTCGTACTGCAGCGGGCGCAGTAAGGAATGTAGAGTCTACGTGCATCCTACAAAAGGTGACTGTCCTTGCGTGACAGCGTTGGCAACAGCATTACATGCAGGAGCAGCGGATAGCACGCACTGTCACAGCAGGGACGGACGAGTACAACTGCTACGTAAAATTTGTGCTCATTGACGGTAGTAACGAGCCGCAGTGTTGAATGCGAGTGCCTCTCCTGATGGTGCAGTGTGAGAGTAGGGATATCTTCAGCACAAGGACTTCGTATTGGCAATCGCCCCATTTGCAGCGTATTCACCCTTCTCGACTAAGCTAAAACATTGCGCTGTGCGGGGCACTGCCACGTTTTGGATAACTCAAGTGCGCACGCGTCATTCGGGTGGTCACGATGTGCAGCGACATAAGCAGCTGCAAAGTCGACGGTGCTACGTTGCTGCATGTCGATAGAGGACAACTTACGAACCAGCCTAGTGGCAGTCCTCTGGGGCTTGATGCGCCTCGTCCCCGTTAACTGTAGTTGTTGAGTTGGTGCTGGGAGTTTGCAATTTGTGAGCGAGCTGTATCGCTGCGTGTTAAGCTTGCACGCCTTACGAACGGAACTAGTAGCGGTCCCTCGGCTCATCGTGTAGCCCACCACCTCCAGCTGCTGAGTCAGTTGTGGAAACAAGTATTTTGTGAGAGCTGGAGTGCACGTTTTTAGTCTATCGAACGGACACGTGCCGGCGAGGGCACGATGCCGCAGGACCCCTCATTGCAGTACACGCAGCAGGCGCTCCGATTAAGTTCTAGCTGCGCTTGTTAGTGCTCCCTATAAATTCTGAAGTGTAAATCGAAACACTGAAGTGTCTGAAGTGTGCCAATGGAACCCTGAATGTAACAGCACTACAGGAGCAACTGCAACACGTCTTCACAAGCATTTACCCCTCATCGCAACTTGTGAAGCACACAGCTCGCAAACGCGAAGTATCATTAGCCATACATCTTATGTACATTTTGTGTAAGGGCTGAAATAAAAGACACTAAATTTGTTGGTGCAGGGTCTGCTTCCTCACGCCACGCACGCCAAGTAGATGCCCGACGAGGATTTTCGCATCTGCGCTAAGCATAAGACTAAGACCTAATCTTTCGCTATACTGTCCATATTTTTGTTCAATACAAAGACTGCTGCAGCTAGAGCCACAGCAGCAGCTTGAACAGACACCAGTCAACGGCCTCCTCTGCCGAAGGTCTGTGTTAGTACTTACCAAACAGCTGCGGCGACTGTCGCAGCACAGCAGTGCGCCAGCGCCTCCAACGAGGCGCTGTCTTTACAAGTTTAGAACCCTCTGACTTCCGATAGCCTCCCTCCTATGAGGTGGCCATCTAGCTCCATCTCTGCCCATTGTGTGTCGGTGAGAGGTGGGAGACGATCTACTTGTCTCCTCAGGTTCGCTGCGTGTCTGCTGCTCTTGCAGTGTACGCGCAGCTCCGCTGCGTCTTTAAGCGCCTCGTTACAGACGCGACATTGAACCCCACCGCGCGTTTTCTGCTGCTCCTGTAGATGAGCGGTCTCTGAAGGATTAACAGAGCAAGCACCAGCAGCTGGCTCAGATCGCCGTTGCTGCTGCGGCAGAGGCTGCGCATCTCTTTGCAGCCAACTGAGGCCCTCTTCCGTCAAAGTGTCTTCAAACTCGGGTTGTCCACGCTGCTGCTGTTGCACTTGCTGCTTCTGCAACTCCAGTTTCTGTTCTTGCAGCTTCCGTTGCTGCTGCAGCTGTCTCTTCCGAAGGTGCTGTTTTGTTCGCCGTGGGGCATCATCAATGTCTTTAGAAAATCTCTCGCGCTGATGCACGCAAGTCGACGCATGCAAGGAACAAGGCACTCCCACGAAGCCTCCATAAACTCCAGGCTGTTGCTGAGACTGTTGCTGCTGTTGGCGTTGTTTTCTCCCTCCACGACCCTTCCTCTGCGCTCGAGTACAGGTGTCTTTCCAGTTGTCATCACCCCATTCAGCACAACAGCAGCAGCAAAGTTCGCTTTCGCAGCTGCTGCTGTTGCTGGTGTCACCTACACGGCTGCCAGTGTCCTCTGCAGCAACAATGTCTAAGGTGCTTAAACACCCATCTCCATCATGATCCCTGGCGTTCGAAGCCAACTCTACCTTAAATCCTGAGTCTGACTGCTGTTGCAGTTTCTGCTGGTCGTGCTTCCGCTGGCTGATATCCTCGAGACGCATCTGCTGCGCCTCATATAGCTGCAAATCTCTCTCGCGCTTTTCCTGCTGCTCTTTCTCAAACTGACGCTGCTCCTCCTCTTCTTGCATACGCAACTGGCTGAGCTGATATCGCGCCATCTCTTCCTCTATGTACTCCTGCTCCATAAGCTGCTGCCGAAGCAGGCGGCCTCGCTGCAGCTGGCGCTCCTGCATCATCAGCTGGCTTTCGCGGAGCTCGTCCAGTCGCTGCTGTTCCTCTTCTTGCTGCTGCTGTCGAAGTCGACGCACTAGTCGCCGCTGCTCTTCTTTCTCTCTCCGTCTCTGACGTTCTTTTCCTCGTCTCTCCTTTTCTTGTTTCTCCTCTTCCTCCTGCTGTTGTAGCTGCTCAAGCATCTTCTGGTGTTGCTGCTGCTGCTGCCGCTGCTGCTGCAACAGGTGCTGGTCTTGCTGCGGGTCGTACAGACAATTCCAAGTGACAACGGTGAGAGAGCCTCCTGCATCGTGTGCCTTTTCTTCGAGCTCCCTGTATACTCCTGGAGGGACCAGAAACACAATTCGCCACTCTGACGGCACTGCTGGTGCCGATTCCGTTGTGGCTGCCGAGTCCTCTTCCTGCTGTCGTTGTAGCAGCAGCAAGTCGATTTTTGGTTCCTGCGTCTCTATGATGCCGGCGCAATCTCGCACTATGAAGTGCAGCATAGATGCAGCAGCAGCTGCTGCAGCAGCTGGAGAGGCAGCAGTGGGTGCAGGGAGCGGCAGCTGCATGTTCAGCTTCATGAGGCGTCTGCGTATCTGATTCGGATTGTGCTGTTGCAGCAGCAGCGCTGCATGCAAGGCCTGGGCCTTCGCCGGCTGTTGTAGTCGCACCCCAAATCCCAAGCTCTTGAGAGCTGCTGAGACAGCTGAACGAGAAAGGGGCAGTCCAGTGACAGCTGAGTACGTCAAATCCACGACACAAGTAACCACATCATTAAACAGGGACTCAAGCTGCTGCCGCCGCTCCAGCTCCGATACCTGAAGATCCCCTGAACACAGACGAAAGACAAATCTCAACACGTAAAGCACGTGGCTTCCTGACGCTGCAAGCAGGAACTCAACAGGCCCTCGCACGGGGTGTGGAGTACCATCAAGGGAAACAGAAAGCACACACACACATGAAAGGCACATAGGAGCGTTGCCTGGAGGCGGAACGCATCGGTTTAATGAAGGTTCCCCACGCGAGACGATTGCAAGATGATAAAGCACGCTGCATAGCCGACTTCAGTCTGCCTGCTTCTCACGCTGCTTGTTCGCGTTCCCTCTTTGTAGGTCGAGTAACAGGCAACAGAAAAAGAAAGATGCAGACGAAACAGGAAGCAGGTTAGGTTAACGACACTTGTGGGCCGATTCGGTCATATTTTGAGTCAAACAAAAAGCTAAAAGGGAAAGGGCTGCTCCACCTTTCTCCAGTATCCTTAAGATGCAAGCCCGTTTGTCATCTGTCCCAAAATATCTAAGTAACTCCGCCTTTCGCGCTAACTCTCCCTTTGCTACATTTTGAAAAACTGCGTCCACCTGCAGAACCTGAGCATCGAGCCGCACCAGCATAGCAGCAGCTTTAGTTGCAACAAAAATATGAGCAGCGCATGCAACACCAGCAGCTACTGCAATGTCTATGACTTTCTCCAAGGAGTCCTGCGGCTGCGGGCTCTTCTGCTGCAGCTGCTATCGCCATGATGCCATGCTGTCAGCACACAGACTGACAGCAGCCGTATTTTGTTTCTATGCCGCAGCTGCTCCTTTTATCCTAGGGGCTCTGCGCATATCACGCGATTCAGCGGAGGCTGTCGTTATGTCTGCATGACTGAAGATGAGCTTGCCTCGTTCAAGTCTGTCTCTTTGCCTGCGGAAGAAGGGTGTACACGCCACAAATACATTATATTGAACAGCGGTGAACAAACCAATAACCAGGGAGCCTGCAAGCCTCTACAGGCATAAGGCAGTCACAAAGTGATGTGCGAACAAGCCAGTGACTGGCTATCTCAACTTTGACGAGCACGGTGGCGACTTGTTTGTGAGCCTCGGGTCAACAGTCACGAGCTCTGCACCATGCAAGAAGTTATCTAAGGTACTGAGTGTCACACCGATACACGTGTCCTCACCTTCTCGCCAGTTGACCACTTTGTTCTTATAGCACGCGACCTCAAAACGCTCCCCCCCTAAACGCAGCCTGACAACGGCTACGTTCGTCAAGCGGACCTGCGTAACAGGTTGCTTCAAGGCCATGTTGCCAAGTGTTAAGGTCTCCACTTCTGCGGTTTTAACACTTGTGCCTCGAAGAGCAGAAACCGGGAGGGAAAACTAGAAGTCCCAATGGGCAGAGAATCCAATCGCCAAGAAAGCAAAGGGACCCGGGTGACCAAACGAGCGGCCACGAAGGTCTACTTGGGTCCCAGTGTGAAATCAAAAAATGCAGTTTAGAGAGTTTCGATACCGCTATTGAAGAAAAAGAACTAATTTACACTAGATGATTAAACAAACAACGCGAACACACAGTTAGCTACTGGGTGCATGCAAGCACTCCTCTACTCTCTAGAAATGCTTTGCCACTGCGGGCGAAGTAGGAAGCTTGAGAGCTGCACCGAAGAACTCGGAGTTCTTGGTGCAGATTTTATCATGTAGTGAACACTACCTCTCAGATCACTTTTTGCCGCAGACGTCGGAGGAAACAACAAGTGTCACGACGGGTTTCCAGCACTCTGAATGCTTGTTGGTTCCAGTGGTTGATCGAGAACTTCTCGGAAGGTGGCATCACCGAAGGATATTTTGCGCAATTCCGTATAGCTGTCGGTTGAAGAGGATAGTGTGTACTGTGGGTGTTACGTATTCGCACATTCGCACGACACAAGTGTTACAAATGGGTTCCGTTTCCACGCAGCGAAGCGCTTGCAGCCCATAACAAGGTACCAGTTCTCACGTATGTGGCAGTACCTCGAGAAGCTCCTCTTTCAGTGATGTGGTAGACTGCGCTGAAGGTGCTGACCATGTGCAGACAAGTTAACCACGAAGCATTCTACTCAGCATTCTACTCCACCGGCAGTCTTTTGGGAGTGCGGATTAGAACGAGAGCGTACTTCCCCCAAGGCATCTTGCGGAAAATATGTGCGTATCTTAACGGCTTCCACAGTGTCGCGTGCCACGGCGCTTGAAGTACCGCGTTTCTGTAGCTTCGACATGGTCTCTTCTTAACTGAAGAGAATCCCCCCTGGTGGCCTGTGCGCTTAGTTTTTCTGGTTTATGTATCCCTAGTATCTCTCAACGCTGCCTTATCAATGCTAGTCTTGCTAATTGGCTCTTGGTGGCTTCACATAGTCTGTATTTTCTTAGCGGTATAGGAAGACACTGTCAGCGGGGAATTCGCTATTACTGTCCCTTACGCAAGGCAGCTGGAATCAGATATTCCTGCTTGTTCTCTCTCAAGCGCTCCTGTTTCCCCTTTTATAAAACCCCTGGGCGGCCATCTAGGGTCCAGCTGTCACTCTAGGGCTCTTCTCCTCGCTTGGAGTGGCATTATCAGCTACGTCGTGTGAGCAACTTCTGGCCGTGCCTCTTGTTTTTCGTTGCATGAAGGTGTTAATTGTCATCACCCCTTCACGACCGGCAATCAGTGAGCCTAGAAATCCGAAATCTGCATTCTCACTACGTGGAACGGGCGGCCACTTGTTCTTGCCCACAAATCCTCCGGCCAGAACATCACTTTGTTAGCGCGGATGGCAATGCGTCTAGCTTTTTGCCTGCCAGTATTTTGCCAAAACCCACTTTCTTGAAAGGCCGGCCCTTCCAAAAGTGCCGTGGCGCACGCAGCAAATTGGCGCAAGCCAGCAGGTTTTAGCTAAGACCTGAATTCCAAGCTGTTGAGAGATACCTTTATCTTTCTTGCCATTGAACTCAGCCTTTCTTGTCCTCTCGTTCAAAGGCTGCACCACTGTTCTGGCCTGTGCTCTCACTGCAAGAGAAATTAAGGGCAGACATTGTAACTCTTTTGTTTGCTCGCTGCCTTCTCTACCGCGGCTTCCCCTGCTGTCACAAGCTCCAAGCTGCTTTTATTGTGCACTGTAGTCACATTCCGGTGAGTTTGTGTATTGCACAGGCACTACAATAGGGCTTGCTGGTGACCTAAAGAACATAGCTAGCTAGCGACCTACAAGGGGTCGCAACACTGGAGGAGGACAGGACCCTCTTACTAGGATCAAAGTAAGGCAATATGTCTGCGAATTAAGACGCATACGCTAGAGGTGCCTGAAAATGCGCGGAGACTGGGGCTGGCGATAGCGCCGGCACCAGTGCAGGACCCCTCCCCACAGGGCCTAGGAGGCGAGCACCCTGAGTGGGGCGAATTGAAAGACAACAGATTTTGGAAACTTAAGAATAACTGATTTTCCATATATATAAGCTACTGTTTCAAGGGACTGGACCAACGTTAGGTGCTGATCATACGCCCTGCTCGAGGGGCAGGTAGCAGCGTAGTCGCAGCAGTAGGCGCTGTGCACTACATTTGGGGGCTGTTCCGGGATTGAAATCTTTGTTCTTTCCGGACTTGGGAGTAGTAATACTATGTTTTAGTAGCTCACGCCTAGAATTCTTCGCTCGGTAAGTGATGCACCTCCGCAACGGGCGCGTTATCGGCCCCACACCGCAGGAGACTTCTACAATGTTTGTCAACAAAATGCCGAGCGGGACGCTAGCCCATCATCGCCATGCGACTCCGAAGCCCACCGCGGCAGAGCGGCCGCATGGACATAAGGAGGCGCCCCCGCAGGTGATACCTATGACCAATGTTATGCCAGGGGACAGTCCCTTCGTCACCTGGGACCAATTCCAGTCCGCTATGAGTGTGATAAGAACTGTTATAGGCGGGACCATGGAATCCGGCGCAACGATTCCCATACTACCACAAGACGGCAGCACTGTGCAGGCCTTTCTGCTGCGCATCGAGCGCCGGTACACCCAGATGGGATTGGAACCGCGCGAGTGGGGAAATGCAATTATTGACCACCTTGTGGGCCCGGCTCTAACGTATTGGATGTATCTACGGAGAACTATCGACCTAAGCAACTGGGCGAGAGTACAGCGCAGGCTTTTGGAGCGGTTTGACAAAACAATGTCGCAGAGTCAATTGTTAACGGAGTTGGCTAAAGTACGGTGGAATGGTAACCCGAAGGAGTACAGACCGGTTTGCGGCTGTAGTGGAGCGTGGGTTGGGTCTTGCCCCCGACGAACTCGCTGACTATTACTGGACCGGGCTACCGACAGACCTCCATCTTTTAATAACCAGTAACGGACAGGTGAAATATCAGTCGTGGGAACAAGCGGCGACAGCCGCAACACGGCTCTACGAGCCCAAGCAGAGTGTGCTGGAACTCCGAGAATGGACCAGTCGATCCATTAGGGCGGCCGTCCAAGCTAATGGACCGTGGGCGCCAGGAAATTGAAAATCGCCCTCGGGGAACCCACACGAACTGCTTTGAGTCTCAGGGTCGCGAACATCCGGCACTTGTCTGCCCCAGCAAAGGGGAACGTACCAAATGTCCGGGGGAAATATGCAAGAAGTGTGGCGGTGTGGGACACTATGCTCGGGACTGTCCTACGTATGAACGAGGCCGGCCCGAGCCGGCGGGCACGAGCAGTAGGGAGCCCACCCGTCCTAGCACTGAGAAGACGGAATGATTAAACGTGCGGGCCTAGGCGTGGTTGGAGACGAGCGTTCTAGGCCGCGTAGTCATGGCAAAGGCATGATGTGTGCGGTAGCGACAGGCCCGAATGCCATTCCAGTCTCCCTTGAGTGGGGTAACCAACTCTTCAGCACTGCGGAAAGAACTAATACGAGCGATGGGCATTGCACGGTTTGCATCTCATACTGGCTTTGCCCAAAGCCGGTTCGGCGGTGCCCCTAAGGCTCTCGGATGAATGACAAAGCGCGTTTTGTTGCGCGTTGCTTGCCCCACGCGCCGCTACAGCCGCAAACCGGTCCGTGTACTCCTTCGGGTTACCGTTCCACCGTACTTTAGCCAACTCCGTTAACAATTGACTCTGCGACATTGTTTTGTCAAACCGCTCCAAAAGCCTGCGCTGTACTCTCGCCCAGTTGCTTAGGTCGATAGTTCGCCGTAGATACATCCAATACGTTAGAGTCGGGCCCACAAGGTGGTCAATAAATGCATTTCCCCACACACGTGGTTCCAATCCCATCTGGGTGTACCGGCGCTCGATGCGCAGCAGAAAGGCCTGCATAGTGCTGCCGTCTTGTGGTAGTATGGGAATCGTTGCGCCGGATTCCATGGTCCCCCCTATAACAGTTCTTATCACACTCATTGCGGACTGGAATTGGTCCCAGGTGACGAAGGGACTGTCCCCTGGCATAACATTGGTCATAGGTATCACCTGCGGGGGCGCCTCCTTATGTCCATGCGGCCGCTCTGCCGCGGTGGGCTTCGGAGTCGCATGGCGATGATGGGCTGGCGTCCCGCTCGGCATTTTGTTGACTGACATTGTAGACGCCTCCTGCGGTGTGGGGCCGATAACGCGTCCGTTGCGGAGATGCACCACTTACCGGGCGAAGATTTCTAGGCGTGAGCTAAGCTATTAAAGCATAGTATTCTTACTCGCAAGTCTGGAAAGAACAAAGATTTCAATCCTGGAACAGCCCCCAAATGTAGTGCACAGCGCTTACTGCTGCGACTACGCTGCTACCTGCCCCTCGAGCAGGGCCTATGATCAGCACCTAACGTTGGCCCAGTCCCTTGAAACAGTAGCTTATATATATGGAAAAACAGTTATTCTTAAGTTTCCAAAATCTGTTGTCTTTCAATTCGCCCCACTCGGGGTGCTCGCCTCCTAGGCCCTGTGGGGAGGGGTCCTGCACTGGTGCCGGCGCTATCGCCAGCCCCAGTCTCCACGCATTTTCAGGACCTCTCACGTATGCATGTTAATTCGCAGACAAATTGCCTTACTTTGATTCTAATACGATGGTCCTGTCCTCCTCCAGTGTTGCGACCCCTTGTAGGTCGCTAGCTAGCTATGTTCTATAGGTCACCAGCAAGCCCTATTGTAGTGCCTGTGCACTACATCACCCGTCCGAGCGCTGAGAGGAGTGGTTGTTTAAACGACAGGGATTAGGCATGGTTGGAGAAAAGCGTTCTACGCCACCAATCCATGGCAAGGGTGTGACGTGTGCGATAGCGGCTGGCCCTAATTGTAGTGCGCAGGCACTACAATTGTAGTACGCTGCGCTCTCAACAGCGTCTACGATGTTGTACGACCCGCAACTCTGGCGCTCTATGAGCTCTTCTCTTCTACAGACGCATCGGTCTCGTAACATTAGAAAAACTATTAAAAAAACATTTTGTTTCATGTGCCCAAAACCATATTCCACAAAAGCCACTTTCTATGGTTCTTGCTTTGCTGGTCCTGTGAGGATGTGACGCGCGCCGGTGCCCGCGTTGTCTGTAGCCCCGATCATAAAGCATTCGCTCACATTTCTAGTTTATACATGTTAATTTGTTAATAAATTGCATTTCTATTTCACTAGTAAGAGGTTACAGCGCTCAATCCGCGTCGCAACCTCTTAACCGCCTACAGGTCATCAGTTAGCTATCCTCTATAAGTCACCAGCAAGCCCCATTGTAGTGCTTGCGCACTACACAAAGGACTCAGCCGCCACTGGAAACGCAGTAGAAATCGGGGCCTAGACCGACCCAGAGCGAAGAGGCTCCGTGCGAGAAGACGAACAGCAGTGGGAAGCCTACAGAGGCAACAGAAGAGGGCTACAGGCCAGAAGAAGTAGAGGTTGTGCCGCAGTGGTGGCGGGAGACTTGCGCGAAAAACACTTACAACCAAGGGGAAGCATCGCGTTATGTGGGTGCGACAGAGGAACTCCGAGTTGAGTGCGTAGGGAGCCCATATGAGGCGTTGTTAGACACAGGGGCCTCGAAAAGCTTTATTAGTCCTAAAACTGTCAAACGGCTCCAGCTCAAGGTGCGGCGACTTCCAGAGGAGCATAGGTTCACATTAGCTACCGGTGAGCAATTGCCCATTGATCGTGTCGTGACGGAGTTGACGATGTGGTGCGGAGATGCACGTTTCTCGGGAGACTTTTTAGTGTGGCCCATTCCCTGTGTCTTAGTACTGGGGTTGGATTGGCTAACTGAACATAAGGTGGCCTGGTACAGTCAGAAGAGCTGAAAACGTATGTGAACAGCAAGTGGTGCGAGCTACCCGTCGTCAGGACTGGTGAAGAAAAATTGCAGGGAGACAGCCCTATCGTAGTACACCCAAGAACCCCTGCCGAGCAAGCCTGTGAGATATTGGCCAAGCAAGTGGCGGGCATGTCCTCGGAAGAGGCCGCCATATTTTTGCGCCTACCATCCAAAAGATAAGTCCCATGCGAAGTCAAAGGAGAAGGTACGGATAGTGTCGCTCGTTCACCAGGCAAATGCTGGCACAAAGAGTCTTAGGGCACCATTGCAAGGTTTGCATGTCCTACCGGCTTTGCCACAAAATCGTTCGTTGGTGGCACTGAGGTTACCAGAAGAATGGCAAGAGGCGCTGTGCTGCACGTTGATCAGAAGCCGCCCCAGGTCCTACGGCTGGGGCAGTCTTCTGGTATCCGCTGTCTCAAAGGCAGCGGGTGATAAGGAGAGTCTCCATGGCCTACGGCTAAATTAGCGCACACACAATGCCACAATTGGATAAAGTCGACACGGGCACAGGATATCCCCTTTGAGGTGCTGCGGGAGTATCGGGCGGTCTTTCCCGACAAATTGCCTAATGGATTAGCGCCAAAACGCCCTCGTGATCATGTATTACCTACACCTGAAAGACTTTCGGCGAAATATGCAATTTGCCGTATGGCACCAGATCAGCTTAAATTCCACAGTCAGGAGATAGCTAAATTTTTGGACAATAGATGGATGGGACCATCGTGTTCGCCCATCTGGTCTCCTACGATTATGGTGGAAAAACACGATGAAGGGGAGCGGAAGATGCGTATGGTTGTCAATTACTCGGCTGTGAATGCCCTTACGATAGCCCCTGAGTTTCTACTACCTTCTGTTCAGACCTTTCTGGAGATGCAGGGAGGCGCCAAGTATTTTTCCACTCTGGACCTTGAAACAGGATTCCATCAGATACGTATGGCTATAGAAGATCGCTGGAGGATGGCCTTCCGTTCCGTGGGGGTATTCAAGTATCAAGTTATGCCTTGTACCCTCAAGGGTGCCCCAGCCATGTCCATTTCACTCTCCAGGGTACTTTCTCCTAAGGGAGGGAGCTTCCCACTGTATCCCTATAACGACTGAAGCAGCTTCTGATTGATTACACCACTCTACCGACCTCCGAAAGCCAGAGTTGATAAAGTTACATATTGATGCTTCCTGTTACGTGATACGAAAGGAACTAATGTGAGAAAAGAAACGTCATGAATCCCGCTCACCAGAAACTTGCGGTTCAGTCATTAATTCGCAGTGCCAAGCCTTCAGCATACGCGGAACATCATTTTAACCTCATTTTCACCCGCTCAGTATGTTTCAAACATTCCGTGGCTCGTTGGCTAGATTTCCCCGCATATCACCATTGCCCACTTACGAGGCGCGCGACACCAGGTAGCAGAAGCGTTGTCTCACCATCCAAAGTATTCTAATCTAGACGCGCTCTTTCCCACAGCATTACATATTCTGCTCTGCCTCAGGATCCCATCGGTTAACGCACGCTTGGACGAATTGCCTGCTACTAGGATATACATTGACTGACTTGGCACTCTCAAGCGTCAGGTGGCCCTTATTCTAACGGTCAAAATAGAAAGAGACACTTTGCCCTTTTAGAGTTGTTTCCACTCTGCAACTACTGACGCCGTTCTCGTATTCCTGGATGGGGACGGTACTCACCAAGCCGATGCGCGTGCTCCAGGCAAAGGGCCCGTGAGTAAGCCGAAGCGCTTTTCTTTCTGGGGAGACACATCCAGCCGACGTATGAAAGCCCCGTACTTCTTGCTTTATATGCCCATATCTCAACATTCTGAGACTGTCATCCACATCACGTGTTCCATAGCGAAGAAGCAAAAGCGTTCTCAGCATTTACCTGTTCACTATGTTCCAGCATATAAACTAGTGAAAATAGGTCAAACCAGTTCGCACCGCGTCCACGAACAAAAGGCCCCAGAACGAAAGGAGGACACAACTGAGTGCCGCCTCCTCAACATGAAGCGAGATCCATGGAAAAAAGGGATCGCTGGTGTACCCGGCTAATCAGTAATGTCGCCTAAATTAAATGATATTCATTATGCCGTTTGCTGAAGGTTGGAAGTGCGCCGCTACGAAGACAACACACGGCCTGCACCAACTGCGCCATCATTTTCTAGTTGCATGCACCCGACTGTACTTTCTGAGAATACCCCAGGATTTCATGTATCTCAACGTATAAGAATTTTGAAGTAGATCCTGCAGCATTTACAGTATCGCAGAGAGCCGCCTGTAGCAGAGTGAACGTTAACACTACTGTTATGCAATACCCCTCGAGAGGCCAAAGCTACTCAACCAGTAGCTTCACCACACCAAGAAAACGTTAATTATCCACTGGATAGAGCAGACGTATTGTGAAAAATTCATTCATCATAGACGTGGATAGTACTGGGGCTTTCAGCGCATACCAGTGGCAGCCCCATGGTGGTAAGCTCATGCAGCCCCAAAAGCTGCTATTTGTGTTTCGCAACATTGCTTATACCGGAATCGGTACAACTGCCCCGTACCAGGCTTGATTTTGAGTGAATATGTAATCCTACTGTGTGTCTTGACTCTCCTCTGGAAGCTAAGGGAACACTCCACCAGCAAGCAGTTACCTAAGGTGTCGCAGCTTCGTTCCTTGAAGTGTCTGGTGATCTTCTCCCCTTCTAAAGAAATATAACCCATATTTCTTGTTACATGCGTGACGAGCCGCGTGGTTGACGCAAAAGTAGAGGAAGTAGCCCCCAGAGACAACATCTCCGTGGGAATGCTCTCGCCCGTGGTGCAGGCGGCAATGCCGCCTACCGGTAACTGCGGCTGCAGCAACGGTAGTTGCAGGTGCAACGACAGTAGCTGCAGGTGCTTCAGCACGAGCAATAGCTGTAACACAGGCGTTATTACTCCGGAAAGCTCCTCATGCTCCAACAGTTGCTTGGATCAGCATATGGAGGAGAGGCACCTAGTGTGGAGAAAGAACGCCCCCTTTTTCTATGACACAATCTTGAGTCACAAATTTGACTGGCCCTCTATGACAGTAAGGCCTTAGAAATCGGATCCGTGGTTTGCATTTCTGTGCCATGCATGGAATCAGCGCTTTAAAGGCGTTAGCGTCGTCGGGGTGCACACAATGTTGCATCATGAAAAAAGTTCTGGAGCTTCAGCAGCAGCACAGCTCTAGAAGAAGAGGCCTTCGCTGTTTGGTTTTACGGTTACATTTTTGGCTTGCTATGATGATGACGCCATTTTGCGGCTGTAGCTAGTGCCCTTGCTGCTGCTTCAGGTTGAGTGCTTCCCACCAGCGCAGGCGTCATCCTCGTCTGGTGCTGTGAGACTGCTTTTGGGAACTGCCACAGATGGTAGCGAGCAGAATTATTTGGTGCAAGCGGAGGCCAGGGTGCCTCAGCCGTCCCTGGAGGTTGATCCTATAATTTGCGAGACTTATTCAGGCACGCCTCTGTCATTACTGATTATGCGGCTGCTGCGAACATTTGTGCTCCCATCGCAATCCTGCCATTTTTGCTTGTTCTGCGAAGTTTATGCGTACACTTATCCGTATCGTTGCAATTGTTTCTACCCTTGCATGCTAGTCGCCTTTAGAATGAGGCATTCACTGTTGCGCCTGCTGCGCTGTGCATTGTGCGCGGGAAGAAACGATTTATTATGTTTCTCTGTTCTACTGCTGCTCCTGCGTCCTGTCTGCCGTTTATATCGCAGGCTTTACTGCGCCTCGCAGCAAATGCACCCGTGGTGGCGGGCCCCCGCCAGGAAGCCCAGCACCTTTAGAAGTGAAGGCGCTTCTCGTACACCCTGGAAATGTTTCCCGGGCGCGTTTGCGTCCTCTTAACCCTCTGCATATTGCATCTTGCACTCCTGACGGGTTAGTGTTGTTCTGGGATTACAGCAAACACCCGTCCTTTCCATCTCCTCCAACCCAGGCTGCCGCGGCTGCTGCGACAACGGGGAGTTCTCCCGGGGGTAGCTTGAACGTGGCCAAGCCACAGATGGCTCTTCTGGGGCACGGGGAGGCTTCTGTCGAGGGTCTAGCCTGGAGCGCGGCCGACAAAAATCGTCTCGTCTCTGTGGACTGCGAGGGCGTTTGCTGTTTGTGGGACGTCGGCAGTACCAGCAACGCCAGCAGCAGCAGCAAAGGCGGGATAAGACCCGGCGATGTTGCACCTGACGGGGTACAGCTGGCCGGTAAGACACTTCAGATGTCCCCAGTTAGGCTGTGCCGCCCAAGGGAGAAGGGAAATGCGAGTGCACGCTTAAATGACGTGGAGCTACACCCGCATCACCCAGAACTCGCAGTTATTGCTGCTGAGGACAGCAGCTGTTTGCTCATGGATTGGCGGCAGGAGACGGCCGTTGCCGCAACGGCAGCAGCGGAAGCTGCGGCAAATGCAGTCTCGTGGAGCCCTCAAGAACCTTGTGTGTTCGCTATTGGGGACTCCTCTGGGACAGTGTCATTGTTCGACACTCGTTGTCTCCGCAGGTCTTTCCTGTCTCTGTCCGTGGGACCCATGCAAGAAGGCCGCACTACACAGGGGGCTTCAATCAACACCGTGCATTTCCACCCCGACTTCGCTTTCTTGCTTGGAGCGGCTGCCGAGGATGGCACTGTGGCACTTTGGGATGTCGTTGCCGCGAGTGGTAAACAGCAACGGAATCTAGATCAGCAGCAAGAAGATAAAATGCAAGCAGATGGTTCGACAAGTGAGACTTTGAGAGGCAATTCAAAGGGGCCGCCGGGGCTCCTGTTTGTTCATGCGGGACACTCAGCCCCCATTACGGACTTTTGCTGGCGGACGGCGCGGGTGCCCCCACCGAACAGCAGCGGCAGTAGCAGCAGCAGCGTGTACCACCTAAGACAGTCGTTGCTTGGGGCAAGCGTGTCCTTTGACAACAAAGTGCAGTTGTGGCAACCCGCAGAGCTGGTGTTTTGTCAGACTGCACAGGTAAATTATGTGAACTGAGCGAGGCCCCAGACAACGAGTCTAGGGCCGCCCTTAGAGGCGTTCGAAAAACAGGCTTCCCGGACTGCTGCCCTTCGGGAGGCCGAGTTATGAGTGGGAAGTAACTGGAAAGGTGATGCGGCAGCGGCTTTCACTCAAGCTGCGCGAGAAGCACTATCGGCAGAGGGGGCCCTTGACTATTTTTTTTTGAAACGCTTTGAAGCATCGATTTCGGCTTTCTGTGGGTGTTTTGACCTTAACACAACTGCTCCAATCGAAAAACACCTGCAGTCTGCTGCTTGCAGTTATACCAACTACGCCAACATCGCTGCTGCAGCAAGGGCAGCAGCAGCGAGACCTGTTCCTGACTCAGAAAGGCCTGGTCTTTCTGCGTCCCTTGAAAGATACAAGGAACACGCTGCTGCTACTGCTGTAGCTGCCTGCGCAGCACCAGGTAATTCTGTCACTTCGAAGTACCAGTCTAAGTCGCTAGACCCAACAAGACCTGTAGGTACGGAGGGCAGTGCTGCCGAGCCTGCATGCATACGCAGATGACCCATCTCCACAGTCCGCGCCGCCGTCACTCTACGGTACGGGACCAGCAGCAACAAACAGCGTACGCTCCGTACCGTGGGGTCTTGCGCAAGCAAAGCCGATAATTCCGCTGTTATCGGCAGTCTTTGCTGCAGTTGTTGCAGCAGCGGCTTCCCTGCCTCCCTGCACGCATGCAAGACCAACCACATCCGCAGCAGCAGCATCAGTACGTTTCAACGCACCTTGCTACAATGATTATGCCGCGGCACGAACGAGCGCAAAAAGTGTCGGCCAAAAAAAGACGAGCATAAGCAACATTGCAGCTGCTGGATGCAATCTTACTGAGGCAATCTGAGAATGTGCTGCAGCAGCGTCTCGCTGTGCGACGGCCAGAGGGCTCCTACTGCAATACTGACCCCTTTCCAGAGTGACTGAGACTGCCATGCCTGAAAGCAAAGTAAATAAACAGCAGCTGTCCTTATTGCTTTTGACCGCGCAGCCGCGACCCAGCAATAGTCCATGTGCTGCTGGACATACTATCCTGGTATGTCGAGGCGGACAGAATCTCTGTCAGCTGAATGGACATCTTAAGGCATGGAAACTGCCGATGCAAGCAGTCTCAACACGCTCATAACCGAACAGCTGCCTATCAGGTTGCTACCTAAGCCCTGTGTCTGCTGACGGCCCCTAAAGCCACTTGCAGGTTGCTGCTGTCGGTGTCCCACGGTAGCTTTTATCACCCTCCCTCCTGCGGCTGCTGCTTCACACTGGTATCTTGCTGCCTCTTTCGGCGTTTACGCCCGGCAACCCGCCTTTGCCCCCATATTTGCAATGTGTTGTTTTGCTCTTTGTTCCTGCCGCGTGCCTCGCTGTTTCCAGTCTGTGTGACGTGTAAACGGTTTTACTCAAACTGTAGCCCCTTCTTGAACCGTTTTTTGAGTGTTTGTTGTCACGTTGAGCTCTATTGATAACTCACCTCTCTGGCTATAAGAGCAGGAAACACAACCGACGACAGGAACTCTCCGAGGGACGGCAGATGCTGCGCTGCCCGACAAAGCTGCAGCAGCAGCAGCAACAGCAGCACCACCAGCACAGCTTAACCAATGTTCCCCATTGTTCTACAATATACGACCTGTACCACCAGTTGTGCCGACAAAGCCTTACTAGGCGTCCAAAGACGGGCTGTAGCGGCGTTTCCGAGTCTTCTGACAGCCGCTGACAAACTGCAGCGACAGCCTACAGCGAACGCACAAGCACAGGTGTCAGCAGGACAAAGCGTCAATCCCAGGGTCACCCACGTCCACGCTAGCTACAAAAATAGCAAGCGCCACAGCCTGCAGACATCAGCTCGTTAGCTAGTTAACTGTGTAACTTGAAATTAAACTATCCCCAGCCAGAAAATCTGCACAAGCCAATCGCCAGATTTACAGGTGCTCACATGGACTGGCAGGAGCTCTTCAGAGGTCGGGGATGTTGGAAGGGCCCCTGTTAGCCCCAGGCAAACATCGAGTGCTGCCGCTTGTCTCCTCCTCTCAGCCACTGTGTGCAGACACGCGAAAGCAACACGTTTGACAACAGTTGTTCTCGCTGTTCATTCTGCTTTGGCTCACGCCGCTGCTGTGGCTCTCGCTAGACCTTTCCACGCAAAAGCGCGCAGAAGCTGCCACTGCTGCAGTAGATAGAACTAACCACTAGGGCACGGCAGCATGTATGTACACAGCAGCAGATCTTCTGGGGAAATGCCATATTCCTGGAGGCGCTGCTGCTGCTTCTGCTGCCTCAGTTTATAGCGAGAACGCATAAGATCAGCAAAAACTGAAGACACGAGGGACATGTCCTCGGAAGAAAGCAGCAGCTGCTGTATGTACACGTGGCATTGTTCCCTGCAAAGCGAAAACAGAATAGCATCCAACAAGGCCAGGCAGTGCTGTGACAACAATAGAATCTGAAATCCATTGAACAACAGAGTGGACGAATCTCAGACAGCAGCAGCCACCCCTGCAGGAAGGCCAGCATAACGGACCGAGTGAAGAATCGAACCATTGGCGCTACCAACGAAAAGTTCTTGTCGGCCTTGAAAACAGCCCAAGTAGCCTCCAGCAGTCGCACAGGCAGATTTTCCCCATTTTGCTGAGCTACTGCTGTTGCTGCAGCTAGATGCTGCAACATTGTCAGCAGCAATGGCCTTTGTTCAGGCAGGTGAAGCTGCAATGGCAAAATCACATGAGGACAAAACGTTCGTGCCACTGTTGTTGCTGCATATGCTGAGCACGGCATTATTTTTGCTGATGCTGAGTAGACATAGCGCATACTGCTGCAGCCTCACTTCGATCAGCTGCGGATACACCTGGTGATGAAGATCATTTATTTGCTTTATAATCTGCGGACCAGAAAACGCACGCTGTTGCTTTATTGAATGAGTTTGCCACGTCAACTGTTAATTCATCTGTTAAATTGCATTGTCACTGTTGTTTTCGTTCAACTTTCCTGTAGCAACAGCTGTTCATGACGTTGTAGCGCTTCACTGTCTGAACAAGACAGAGCAACGCGGAGCAGCAGGTGCAGCAGAAAGGGATTCCGTGCTGCTATAACTGCAAAGACACTGCTGCGCATGTCGAAGGCGGCAGCTGCTGCTGCAGCTTTCGCCTTTAGTGCCGTGGCGAGTGCTGCAGAGGCTGCTGTGGCATCTGTTGCATCTTCTCCCTCCGCGGCAGCCGATGTATCGCGATCCGGTGGCTCTATTGTCTCTCTTGCAGTAGCAGCAGTTGCTGCTTCTACTGCAGCTGCAGCAGCCGCTTCCCCGGCATCTGAGGCAGAGAAGATATAATAGGCAGGACCGCACAGAGTCGTGCCGCGGGACCCACAATACCAAGGCATAGAGCATGAGCAAACACCGCCAGCAACAAAGGCGACAACAACAACTGCGCCAGCAACCCATCACCCCTACCAGCAACAGTAGATATTTCCCGCAGCAGCGTTGAGGCAACAGCAGCAGGGAAAGCGCTGATGCGCATAAGGCCCAGGAGCGCCTCCACCGATCCTGGTCCTCCAGCTGAGCTGCGAACACCAACGACAGATGCAGAAAGAGGCAGCAGCAGAAAAATAACGCATGTTTAGCTCTGTCCAGATTTATCGTTAGAAGCACGAGAGTACGCGCGGCACTCCGGCGCATCGTTGTTCAATAGATGCGCTTAGAGCCGTTATGGACTGCGCTAAGCACTTGGCAAACACGTCAACGGAAAAAGGCTCAACAAGCGCTCAGCCAGAAGCCTCAAGCAGTGTACTCTTACGCAAAGACAAGGGAAGCCACTTCCTCAACCCAGCGGCCGGAAAAGTATTCCGGCGACCCCCAGCCCTGCAGCTCGACAGAGGATAGTGCACCCTCTGAAGCCCCTTCCGCTGATGCAGCAGAGGCAGCAGCTGCAGCAGTGGCTGCTACATCCCCCTGGTGAAGTTCCGGCTCCTGTAGCACCTTCAAACCGCTCTGCTGCAGCAAACGCGCTGGCATCTGCCACAAGGGGGCCCCTTGGGGGGCTCTCACACTAATTTGGGAGTCGCTGCCCTGCGTTACTACTGTTGATGGTGCTGCGTCTGGGACTTTGTGGCGCAAAAGGAGATCTTTAATTGTTTGCTGCTTCCAGCTATCGGCTGGCGGAGTGTATGTGCCCTTCACGGAGGCGAAGAGGCGGGAGAAGAGACGCCGGCAGCCCACAGAGCCCACATGGCAAAGGCGCATGAGCAGCGTAAACGCAGTTCTGCACCCACAGCAACCAGTGAAGCGACAGAAATAAATTTAGCAGCATGAAGAGATTGCTAGCAAGAAATGCAAAAATCTTAAATGTAGTAGCTTCAGATGAGGCAGCGACCGTGGCAGGAACCAAAGACCCTGGAGTCCCGCGAACGGTGTTGCTCTGTATTCTCTCCAGATCTGCAGTAAGAATTGATGTCTCGTATTACTTTCCTTTCTCTCACTCCAACTTGTGACATACACAAGGGCCTAAACTTTCCAACTTGTGAAGCATTTTCAATGGGGGAATCTGAGCATTCATGATTTTGGTCAAGGGTTTTACGCTTAGGACAGAAATTTACCTCCGAGACAACGGTGCGTTTTTTCTCCTAATGATTTGTGAAAGAGCAGCGACTACAAGCCGCCTATCGTTGGCCAAGGCCTTGGCGCTGCGGCTCTCACTGAGACCGCATGCAGCAACCAAATCCGCTGCAGCAAACAGCTGCATTTGTGGCTGCTGCCCACGGTGTTCAGGCTGAACTGTGCAGACCTGCATCGCACTATCGTCCACATTTGCTATTCCAGCTTCGCCGTGTGCTTGCACGCTGAGCGACTGGTTCTGTTGCTCATGTAAACTAGCTGACGCTGCTGTTGGAGCAGTTGCCGCTCCGGCTGCATCTGCAGCAGCAGCAGCTGCTGCCGGTGGCTCTCCGTCTGCCAGCCACGCAAGGAACGCAAAAACTGAGGGAGGCACGAGCGGCGAGGCCACGAGAAAGCGACCCATGAGCTGACTGTATGCAGCTCGCAACGCCCTACAGAAGAACCAACAGTCACAGCAGCAAGAGATGCGCCTATAGCAGCAACCACGACTCCCTGTGTCAAAGTAATGACCACTGCATCAGCAGAAGCAGCCTGCCTCTATGGCTGTAGCATTGACAGCGACATTCGACAAAGAGGGAGCGCCTGAGAATGATGTAAGCAGCAGCAGCACTACGAGCAGCTATGAAAGCCCAATTTGTCTTACGTGTCATCCAAGAGCTCCTGGCAGTAGGCCATGGACAGGCATTCCGCGAAGGCCTTCTCATAAGTTGTGAATGTTGAGGTAACCCAGGAACCCTTTACGAGAAACCTCCAGGGGTGCCACCCTTCTACGGCTTCTGGCAATTTCCCTATAAGCGCAAGCGTTAGGGTAGGCTGCGCGTCTGTTGTTGCTGCCGCCCCTAATTCTGATGCAGCTTGTGAAAGTCGCAACTGCCGTTGTTTAATGTAATTGCTACAGCTGCGGCTTGAGATAAAAAATAGAAGATCGAGAGACAGTGCCAGCTTTGCTTGAAGCACGAACAAGGGCGTGCTGCCGCTGGTCTCCTGCAGCGGCAACACAGCAGCGTACGTCGACATGGGAACAATCACTGCACTGGCTTCTGCTAATGCAGCAATCACATGGGAAAACGCACAGCACACAGCAGCTGCCTACCTGAGGAGACACCTGTAAAGCCTCTTCATTCCTGAGAACCGGCGACCACACAGAAAAAGCTTTGCAACCCTGAAACCCTAGAGCTTCATCCCGAGAGAATAGGATTAGAAGCCAGGTGCGGCATGTAAATAAACGGAGACGAGCTCACAAGCAAACAGGGACAACCAATCCAGCAGTACGCTAGAAAGGAGACTTTGTGCAACATACTGGATAAACACACTAGCAATTCAGCCGCACCAGCACAGCGACAATGAGCAGAGCAGCAGCAAGCACTTCGCAAGAAGCATTCCGCAGGAGAAATTTAATAACGAAATGCAGCGAAGGCAGACACAGGAAACAATGGTTGCGAAACCAGCCAACTGCAGACAGCAGGTGCAACACCCACTTGAAAATCGCTCTGACGGCCCTAAGCAACAAAGCATCCTTCATAGGCTCTGCCATCCGCTCGGCCAGCCGCAAGAAAATTTGCTGCCGCCACTGCAAGAACGACAAAAGCAGCAGCGGAAACAGCAAATGAGCGAAATGCCACAGATGTCGCATGCCGTAAAGGCAGCGTCCTCAGTGGCTCATCAGGACGACATAGCAGACACAGGCCTCCTAAGGCACGAATATCACCTCAATACCTCACCTGCAAGAATAAAAGACGGTCTGCATACGCATTGCTGCCGGGAAGACACTCCGGAAGGGGGCCGCCTACGGGGAACAGACCCAAAATAGTAGCGCAAACATTCGCCTTCGCAGTAGCAGGATCGGCGAGTGCGGAGAAACCATTAAAACCAATTCTTCTGCCGCAGCAGCGACTACTACTGCTCCAACAGCAGTAGTGGAAGCAAAACAGCTTACCAAGCACCTGCGCAGCAAGCAACTCCATGTAGGCCTCTGGAGACGCAGACAGCCGTGGCGCGAAAGAAGTAGCCAGACTGCTTTCGTCCGTTTTCTGCAGCAACAGCAGCGGCAACAGCTTGACCTATGGAGGCATCGGGGCCAGTAGCTGCCGTAACCTCTGTCTTAGCTGCTCGCACTGCTGGCGTCGTTGCTGCATCGCTGCTGATTCACTTTCAACTTGAAGTGTAAGTAGTCACTTAGGTTGTGAAGCTTCACAGCACGGCACTCCAGCCTCCATGAACGTACTGTACTGCAGCCTGTTGGTTCTTCCTGCACATCCTGAAGTTCAAAAAGGGCTGGCAGTGAATGCTGAACTTCCCCAAAAGAGGCCCGCATTGGTGCGCCATCGTTGCTGCGCCTGTTGTCTCCCACTTGAAGTCTCGCCTCTGCTGCACGCAGCAATTCCACTGCAGGCGCGCACGCGCGCGTCGTTGCAGCTAGGCTGCCGCTGCTACTCCCGCCGCGGCCGTTGCTGCTGGTGCTGCCTCGCTGCAGTCCTTGTATCAGGATAGCTGTGAGGCGCTGCGGGTTGTACAGATCCAGCAACAACGAAGTGGCGTCCACTTGCTGTTCATGAGACCGCCATGCTCCCGCATCTGTCTCTGCTACGAGCAGCACGCGGGACGCAGCCGCAGCATCAGCAGACGCTGCAGCAACACTCTCTGCTGCAGCAGCTGCGGAAATTCGTTCCTCTTTCTCTTGTGCTGCACTGCCGTTACTGGCACTGCTGCTGCTGTCGCTGCTGGCTTCTACGATGCGTCGCTTTTTTGGAAGGCTCATCTCAGCAGCGGTCTCCTCAAGCGGCGGGCTGCTGCAACTCCCGCTACTGCTCCGCCGCGTACTTGCCCACATGGACTGAAACTTGGCGTTCGCTTCCCGCTGCAGAAAACGGGCAGGAGCCCGTCTACCGGCTGCATCTAAAAGCAGCAGAGCTGCGGCCGGAGAACACCGGGGAGACGCTAGCAGCCGCAGGCCCTCTCGCTGCAGCAACAGCAGCAGAGCATGCACTGCAGCAGAGCCACCACAAACTGCTGCAGCTGTGGCGACGCAGCGGACCCCGCAGCCAGTGCCCCCGGCAACAGCGATATCTGTTGTTGTGGAGGAGTCCGCGTCTTCATTGTCTTCTGCAGCAGCAGCATCTACGACTTGTTGGTGAAACCCTCGAAGCACGTCCGCAATTTGAATAAGAGGCTGCAGAAAGAAGCACAGCCGCCGTGGCAAACGACAGCATATCCAAATAGCCGTCTGCAGCACCTCGCCGTACACGAGGGGGTTCACAAGCGCCTTTCCTCTTGCTGTTGATGAGACTGCAGACGCTGCTGCGGCTGCTGAGGCCGCAGCACCACCCACGTGGACACGCTTATCTTTTAGTGCAACTGGTGTTGTGGCAGGAGTCTCCGTATGAATGTGTGGTGGTTGCAGCAGCAACTTCAGCAGAAGCTGAGTATCAGCTTCTTCCCATGCCGCTGCAGTGTGCCGCAGTAGCTGCTCTGCATGGGCTGCTTCCGGCTGCAGCAGCAATGCGTGTTGTGGCTGCTGCTGGCCTCTACTGGCTGAAGCAGCAAATCCAGGGTCCTCCGCAAGCGAGTGGAGTACCTCAGCCCAAGAAGCAAGAACAGACAAGCAGCTGCGCATACACCGCGCCGCAGCAGCCCGCCTGTCCTGGTCCTGTTGCTGCTGCCCTTCTGGGACTCCACAAGTGTCAGCGGGGGCCAGAAGCAGCGGCAAGCGCACAAGGGCTTCGTGGACATGAGAACGGATGCTGCTGAGTGCTGCAAAGCCCCGGGTGCATGCGGCTGCGCCGCCTATGTAGTCCTGCAGCGACGAAAGCAGCAGCAGCAGCAGCAAACCTCGACATGGTGCCAATTTGACTGCGGCAGGAAGACGGGTGAACTCCGGGGCTGCGTTGGTCCAACATGGACTCAGCATTGACGGCTTCTTTGCGCCTGATTTGTATGCACGGAAACAGCTGCTGCTAACGTATCAACAGCCCTAGCTTTTGACTAGACGGCAACAAAGGAAACTGTGACGGGGCTTGGGGGCTATGGGTTACGCTTAGGCAGAAGCTGCACACTTACCGCCACTGCGGCCGTCCCCCTGCTGCTGAGTCGGCCTGATGCAGCAAGGGTCTCCTGCAACAGGGTTGCCCCGCACTTCTGCAACAAGTCAAAAGTTGCTATCACTACATTTAGCTGTAAGCTTTTGGTGTTGCTGTCGGCGTCGCTGGTAATGGAGCTGGCGCCGGTATACCACACGTCACTGTGCATGCTAAGGATCATGGCGATGGGCGTAGCACAGACAGGCGCTGCGGTTGGTTCCTGCTCCAACAGATTGTGCATAAAGCTGAGTTGCAGCAGCTGCAGTTCCCTTGCCAGCTGTAACATCTGTTGCTGCAGTGTGTGTTGCTGCTGCTGCGGTTCCTGCTCCTGCAACTGAGTCTCCACGGTGTGCAGAAGTAGCATCTGAGGCAGAAATTCCTCAGTATAGCTTCTACATGCAGCAGAAACTTTCTCTGCAGCTGCGGGCCAAACTGAGTGCGAAAGGAGTGTCCTGCAGCGTTGTTGCTGCTGCAGCAGCAACAGCAACAACTTTCCCACGTCTTGCAGCCCCCTAAGTGACCACCTGAGCGCCTCCACAGAACTGCTGAGACTCTTGCCTCTTGCAGCTGCTTCCAGTGCCGCGGCCAGCTGTAAGAAACTGCTACGGGCTATTTGCATATCTTCATTCGTGGGGTAGGACAGCTGGGGGCACCCGCAGTTCCCCTGCCCTGGACCTGCCACAGCGGCAGGTGAAGCAGGTGGTCGACTCATCAGCTTCTGCAACAGCTGTAGCGGTTACGGTTCTGCTGCTGCGCAGCTCACGCTGCTGCTGCACAGCAGCTGTGAACCAACCAGGTGGTTCAGGGTCAGGCGGTTCGACAAGGAAATGTTGTCGCTGAGGGGGCCTCTAGATCTTTAATATGTGCTGCTTCAAAAAAGGCCCGTGTATTTGATGTTGCTGCAGCGTAACAGCAGGAGCAGCCGTTCCTGCTGCGGTTGCTGCAGCGAGTGCCTCTGCAGCAGCTGCTAAATGCAAATGCATCGCCTCAAAACAACCCCTCCAAGGGCTCTAGACTACAACAGAATCGAGGAACCAAAGGAAGCGCTCATGTGTTTGGTGGGATATTTTTTACGATGCAGCTCCAACAGTGCATGCATCAACTGCAGTAGCTGCTGGGGCTTCAGCCCCAGCATGCATGCACACAGACTGCAAAAGTAAACAGATCCCGCCTACTCAACAACTAGCCATAAGTACTGCCAATCGACGTTAGGGTTGAGAGGCAGGGTTCTGAACTTGCTTGGCCGGCATCCGCGCATGCAACGGCCGTGCGCATCGGTGCACTCAATTGGATGCTACATTACGACTGAAACTCAGAAACGAACTAAACTGGAACACAGCGGCCGCATGGGCTTAAAAAGAGCCTGACGCCCCAGGCACCAGAGCAGGTACAATCTCCTTTGCACGGCCACTGTGCAGATAAGCACGGACCCCGCTGATGCTCCTGTGTGTATCTCAAGTATGTCCACAATTTTACTAATGCGCAGCACTAAGCCTTGAGCTGGAGGCTCTTTGTTGCCTTCTCTACCTCCCCAACTACCCGCAAAATGGCAATATTTCGGCTACTCGGACACCCGCCACCCCCCAACCTCGAGCGGAGCAAAATTCACACAATATTTTGAGCAGAGACCCGCTTTCGAGAGGCTCCTTAACGCTTTTATGCCTGGCCTTTCCTCGCCTCCTCAGCTCGTTCCGTTAGCAGTTGAGCAATAGCGTCGCGCATACAACAGCCCATGGCTGTTCCATGGCTGCGAACCGCACACTACAATGCGGCAGCTGCCAGATGCTCTAGAAAACTCAGATAGGCAATTTAGGGTTTGCACGTTGTTCATTGGCTTTACCGAACCCACCGGCAGCGGGGGCACAATGCAGCGAAACAGAAACCTGAGCCGTTAAGGGGAGAAAAAAGAGCCTCTACCTGGCTCGAAGAAGGAACGAAACCCTTCGCCTTGGGTTACTGTTGCTGCATTGACGTCACCTTTCCTGCCCGTGGGCTCAATCCACGATTAGCAGAGCCTATGTGTGTTCTGCTGCAGCTGCTGCCCCAGCTGCTGCTGCCGCCTTGTGCCTCGGCAGCACTAGGCCGCTGTGCGCCGCACGCAGTGAAGGGCTGACACTTCACCCCAACTGAACCGGCAAAGAGTGACGCTATAGGCCATCGTGGCACATGCATATGCAATCCATATGCTCTTTCTGTGTAAGCATATGCTTCACGCCGAAGAAATTTTCGGTCAGCATTTGGGATTCAGTTGGCGCGGCATGTACACGAAAAATCCCCGGAAGCAAACAGCAGGCAAGCCCGTATGTGTCCTGTACCAATACGACCCATCCACAAACACGAGTCTTCAAAGCAGCACTAGCAGCACCACCACCTCCGCTGCCCCTTATAACAGCAACACCACCTCCCGCTACAAGCTCCAGCAATTTCAGAAGCATCACCACCCCCATGGGAGCCATCACTCGATGGAAAACTCAGTGCCAACAGCACAATTAGCAGCAGGAGCTGACGCAGTAGGTGAAGACCGCCAGAGGCAGCTAGAAGGGAATGTCTATGCCAAAGGAGTGTCCGCAGCTGCAGGTGGTTGATGCCTTCTTGTTTTTTTTCAAAACGAACGAAGAGCCGCCCAATGAGGACTCAAATGCGACAAAGCTGCCGCTTTCAACCAGACGCAACGCGGAAGGATGAAAACACACAAACCAGTCGTTGCTGGCGCTGCTTGTGCTACTAATGGTGCCATCCTCAAGACTTGTCTTCTCTTCGCAGGCCACCTCGGGGGATAACCGGAAGATCCTGAGACAAACACAACAACGAAAAATCCTAAAACCCTTAGCCGCTGCATTGCAGATAGCTGAGAAAAAGACAAAAGCCTAATGAAAAAGACAAAAGTCCAATGCCGTTTGCACCAGGTTCGAATTCTCTGATAACCGCGTATTGCGAAAAATTCAAGATCTGAGTGTAAGAGCGTAGGGTCTAAAATTTACAGGTCCCCGTCTCGCTCTGCTTCCTCAAGCGACACCACTGCAAAGGAATATTTGTAGCCGCTGCATCCTCCCCCCGAAACTGCTACTCTGAGTCCAAGGCAATCAGAAGCTGCTGGAGTTTCTGCGGGAGGAGTTCTCTCCCCTGCGGCTGCAGGGGCAACAGAACCCTTTCGTCGTTGTTTGATGTACTGCAACCTGGAGATGACAGAGGGTGAGGCATAAATCTTGTAGTTTGGCTTATCAGTGCACCGAAGGAGGAGCTTCTCCTGATCATCTAAGACCGAAGATGTTGTTGCTGAAGCATCAGCATTCGTCGCTGCTGCTGCTGCTGCCCCTGCTGCAACATTACTGTCCTCGCCGACGAAAGAGGCCTCTGTAGGTCGGGGCCTCTCAACGGCAGCTGCTGGTGAGACGGTTTTAAAAGTCCTTAAGTATGTGCTGATGCTCTTTCCGTTACCACTATTGTACGCCACACGGCAAAGGCGGTGCTGTTGCTGCAGCATTCCACAACAGGTTGTATTGACTGAGATGCCAACAGCAGCTTCACCCGAAGAAGACGCGTAGCTGCGGCGGATATCTCTAAGCACTCTGGTTTCTGCGGCTGTTGCAGTTATAGGACAACATCCCACACTTGTTGGTACAGCAGCAGTAGCTGAGTGCCGTCCCACTACTGAAGCTGCGCGAGCAGCACCAGCGACAGCAGCAGCCATCCACAGATGAGTGTCTATTAAGTGAAACATAACTGGACAATGCGGAGCTTTGCTAAATATGGAACAGAAGGACAGGAATGAGACACAAACCCGCCCACCATATTCACATTAACTCACGCTGCCACCACGGTGCCGCACAGGCTACTACACCTGCCGCTGCCAAACGACAAGAACACTTGCTTAAACCAGCGCAGAGAGAAGAAATAAAACAAGCTCCATTCGAGTGATTAATATAACTTCCCTCCACCGTTGATAAAACAAACCCAGAAACGTACTTCCGGCTGCTGGCGCATGCAGCAGCAGCGCCTGCGACTGCTCCGTTCCAAAGGTAACCCACTCATAAGCGTTTCACGTTAAAATGGTACTTCTTGTGGTTAAAACTGTGAGCTTATTTGAGGGATAGCTTAGATGACGCAGAGGAGGGGAAACCGTGGCCTTTACTGTTGCGGGTTCGAAATATCGATGGTTGGGCCTGATATTTCAGCCAACGAGGTCGGCTGTCTCCGTTGATTCCATCAGACATTCCTGTTGTGCGCGGCAACTGCAAAAAGGCGGCAAAAGCAAGAGCAGTACCTGCTTCAGGAGCCGTTGCAAGAGCGGCTTGAGTTTCCCCTCTAGTCCAGTACCTTCAAATGTCAAAGAAGGGAACGTACACTACTGAGGGGCCTCCTGCTGAGGCCCCCGAAAGTAATGCATCAGGAGCAGTAACAGCGAAAGACTCAGGGGACCCAACAACAGCAACAGTGCAAAAACAACAGCAACAGCAGCAGGGAAAGGGCCGAAAAGTTCGGTTTCAAAAAAATAACCCCAACAATTTCACGTTCAAGTTGCTGCCCCTCTCTCAGCAGCAATTGCGACAGGGGCCAGCAGCAGCTGATGAGGCCAAATCCGTTCGCATGCAGTTGCAGCGGGTCATACCTCCCAATGCCAGAAGCAAGGCAAGTTGCAGCCGTTGATGGCTGCTGCAGTCGTTGCTGCTGCACCTCAGTCTGCCTCCTGTCGCTAGGCTTTGTGGTGCTACGTTAAAAACTGTGGGCACGTTTGACAGGCTGGTCAGTGTCCCCAGAAAAAGCAACTTAGAAGGTCCAGCAGCGGACACACGAACCAAAGGAAAGAAGACAATAGAGCAGCAGCAACGATGCATCAGCACCACCAACATTTTCATCTTCCCGTGTTTCTGCATTTTTTCATTCCTCACACACAGACAAAATACGGGTTCTTGCGCATCGTAAGTAATGAACCAGGTACGATCCAGTGTCCTGTCGATTTGTCTTCAGCCACAGCAACCCCTTCCAGAGTACCTACAGAAGCAGATTGATCAACAAGAATTCGGAACTGAAACAGTCGTAAGAATAACTACATTTAGCTGCTTTCTTGTGTTTGTTTGAGCCACTGTGTATGTGTTTCTGTGTATCTGTCTCTTCGCTAGGTTTGTGCTTTTGTCCCCTGTAAGTATTTGCCACTGTCTGTTACTCTCCATTATTCGTCTCTTTCTTTACTTTCAGTGCTTCCCTTCTGGCTGTTGCCTCCCGCTGCCGTTTGGGAGGGCCTTTCTACACTTATGACGCCATCTGGAGCTGTTACGTGGTGAAGGCTTTAAACCCCACGATGCGTGTTTCTGTTGTTCAGGCTCCCCAGAGAAGACTAATTGAACCGGACTTGGTGTGTCATCGATTGCAGCTTTTTTCGCGTGATCGTGCCGTTAGTTCTCTTTTGTGGGGCAACTACAAGCTTCAGTCTTTTTCGCAGACATATTGCGGACGCAGGTTTTATTTTTAGGGTGTAGGGCATAGGGGCTAAGTTCGGGAAACTCGCCTCCCTAGCAATTTACCTTAAGCATGTTGGCCATTATTTGTTTGTTTCTGTCTTTCCTATTGCTGCGTGTATCCATTTCGCATGTATTGCCCCACTGCTTGTCCTTGTGTCTGCACGGTACTTTGACTCCTTATCTGTAATCGTACTGTGTAAATGTGGGTTTGTCTCTGCCAGGTCTTTCCGTAGAACTTTCGCACCTTTTTGTT